GTCCCCGGCCCCCCTAGCCAATGGGATAAGCCCGCCCCTAGCCCACCTTGGGGACGGCCAATGGGAGCAGAGTCCCTACCCCATCTTCCGAGTCGGGCATGCGCGAAGCGCGCGGCGCCCGCCCCGGCCGAGGGGCTGGCGGGGGCGGGGAGTGGTGCCGGGCCGGGGCAGGGGGCGTCGCTCCGCTGCGGTGCGATCCGGTACCATTCGGTGCGGTGCGGGTCCCTGCAGCCGTGCCGGGCCGTTCAGTGCCCGCGGCCCGAGGACCCGGCTGGCGCAGGAAGCGGCACCGCTCCCCTCAGCACAGCGCCCTGCCCCGGAGCGAGCCGTCTGGCCGATGGCCTCCCCGGGTGCCGCCTGGCTTGTGCGGGGTTACGGAGCCCGGACCGCCCCTGCCCTGTGCGCCCTTGCAAGGCCAGCGCGGGCTCCTGCCTTTGAAAGCTGCTGCCGCAGAATGACTTCATTTGATCCGCGCCTGTAGGACGTTCCAAAGCTGTGGCAAAGGTGCTGCCGGTGCTGCTGCGATTTGGGAATGGCGCTGCTGGCATGCTTCCCCGCTATGGCACAGCCTAAGAGAAATGTGAGTCAGTCTCTGACATGGGTGCATTAAGGCCCTTGATGCCAATCTGAGAGAAATTGGGCCCTGGCAGCAGCCTCAAGAGCAGCTATGTGTTTTTTTCCTCCCTCTCTAGATTCTTCAAAGCACACTGGATCAGAAGGGAGGTTTCATCAGTTTAGGATGAGAAGAGAAACAAGAACATAGTGGAGCAAGAAGTTTCCCCATACAGCTTCCTATGTGGTGAGTAGGGCAGCAAATGACCAACTCAGACAAACATTCAACTGTATTTTCCTTCATAAAGTCAAACAGGCCACAAATAAAAGCCTTAGTAACGAGACTAGAAGACATAGAAAACATGGATAAATTATAGCGTAGGAACCAAGAGCATGGTGCAAAGATGATAGGATGTTGATGGTCATGCACTTGAAACAGTTGTGGTGAAAAGCAGATGATTTGGGGATTGGTTTGACTGATGTTAAAGAGGATCCGTCCATATCCTCAGCAGAGCTGAGGGCTTTTAAGTTCTGCCCTTACACAAGTTATGGATAAAGTTTATTTTGCTGGGTGACCTTCTGAATCTCTAATGTGGCTCACTCAGCTCGTGTTCCCCTTCAGACCAAGGGCACATATTGTCAAATATCCTGCCCCTAACCATGACAAGTCAGTGCCTCAGGACTTTGAGCGGAGCAGGTGAGCAAGATACTTCCTGTTACTCTTCAGTTTTGACTACTTTCAGACCGGGATTTCCAGCACAGGTGGTTTACCTGTGTTCTAACTCTCAGTGTCTCTCTGCAGGTGTTTCCTCAGTCCCCTCCCACATCCGTGCAGATTTCCTGAGACAACAACATCTTTTGTCAGAGTCCTGCAGGTCTTGCTCCAATTATCATGGACTTCACAGTTGCTTCAGTACAAGCTTTGGTTTGATCTTTCTAAAGCAAGGGAGGCTCTCTTCATTCCCTACCATCAAGTGATTTTAAAGATGGAACAGCTTTGCTCTGTAACAGTATACATTCAACCACCAAATAGGCCCCGTTACCTATCAGCCAGGCTAGCAGAGAGATGGACTGATCACTCTACAGGTTTTTCCTGAAGCACATGACACCAGAATTTGTAAGAAACAGGATGCTGGGCTAGAAGAATCCCAGCTTTGACTCGCTATAACTTTCCTTATGAAGTAACCTGGGAGCAGTTAAGGAAAGCTTCTAGAAGTTGGAGACTTTTTTTTAAACATTTAAGCTGCCTGAATTGTTTTTGCAGAGCTTGGCCAAATTATTAACCTAGGGATGCTCAATATGTATCTTCATATGGATATTAAGTCAACATCAAGAAACAGAGACAAATCCTGTTTTGGAAACAGGATTTCACACAGTTCAACTAACCTTTGAATAGATCATGTTTAGTATTAATCACCAATAAGGGCAAAGCAGGAAAGAGTATGGGGGGGACCACTTATGGCTAGTTTATGAATTGGATATGGGGAAGAATCTAAAATGGAAAAGAGCAAAATTGCCAAGCAGGAGCTCATAGAAACTGAAAGCCAACTGGAAGCCTGTCCAAGAACAGAGGACTCAAAAGGTGAGATATTCAGATGGGAACAGCTGCCTGTAAGGAGGAGTATATTGGAGACAGCTGCAAGGGCAGAACTCAAGGAGGAGCCCAGGCTTGGAGCAGCAGCAGGATCTGGGGGCTGGAAACACGTAGCAAGAAGTTTTACAAAGCACTAGGAGACGTATGCAAGAAGGTGACTTTATTGGAAGCACGACGCCACAGACCCACGGCTGCTCCTAGCGGTGCTTGCCAGTGCGGTTGAAGCGCCTGTACAGGTACCGGATCCTCTTGTTGAGCTTGTGTAAGTCATCTAAGAACATGCGGTCTCCCACCATGCGCTTCTTGCGGATGCACCTCTGCAGCTCGTTGCCCCGCCAGCCC